AAACTAAAATAATATTTTATTACTTTGAAGAGTATAAAAGACAACCTTATAAAATTAAATTTGGATATATTTAAACAAATGAAATAAACCATAGTTATTTCAGAAGAAATAGTTTAAATTGAATAATTTACTTTTTTACAATTGAAATAATTGAATTTATTAATAATATCAAGAATCTATAAAATAAGGGATTTTAAAATTTTCATAATTATAAGATTCTTAATGTTTTTTTTTGGCTCCCTATTGTTTTCATTCTGGATCTAGAATAAAAATAACAAGAATAATTAATAATACATTGTTCATCAGGCTTGCTTGCAATCCCACCCTGAAATCATAATATATATAATTCATGAATTTTCTTAGATATAATAATATCTTTTATTTTACTACTGAATTGGATAAATGCGGATTTCTGGTTATTAATTTTTTTATTCAAAGAACTTTCTGATAAATGAAATTGATCATTTGTTATAGAGAGAAATTTCATCAACTTTGATTTGCTAATGAGATTATTTAAATTAAATAAATATCAAAATAAAGTTGGGTTTGAGTTATATAAAAAAAATTTGAGTTCCAATTTTTCTAGATTCTGTAGAAAAACAAGTAATAAGATGCATTCTTTGGGATTCAATTTTTTTAACTTGTTCAAGTTATAAAAACATGAAATATTAAGATTTTAAATATTTAATAATGATTAAAAAGATATTATATTTTTGAAACTCTAATTTAAGTTCTAGCATTAGTAATGCAAAAAACTATAATTCTATATTATTATATATTACTAAACAAAATTTATTAAATTAAATATTGTATATAAATTTGAATCATTAGATGTGATTTCTTTATATAATATTTAATTATAATTAATGTAATTTTGACAATGAATTATGAATTTGTATTAAAAAATAAAATCCTTTGTAATTATTATTAGATAATTAATAATTTGATATTATGATATTATATGTAAATTCAATTTTTCAATTTCTCTTCACAAAATTCTATATTAAGAAAATAAGAATACCCTTTTAATTTTTCGTCCATTGATCATTAGGTTAAATCTTTAATTTTCTCTCGTAATATATTAGAGCTTCTAAATATTTCTCTTAATCTTGTAGACAGTTACCTTAATATAAATCAAAATATACCGATGCGATCAAGACTAAAAGTATGGTTAGGATTAATTAACAATGCTTGATGGAGATATGTTAAAGATATATCATATTATTTTAGAAATCTTATTTATAATTTAATTAATAATGAGTCATAAACATGAGCCTATTAATATAAAGATTATTAAGTATCCTTTATAACTTATAGATAACTAATTATTAGGATTTATTGAAATTGATTTATCTAATTGTTCTATACCCTCATTATACTTGTCCTCCCAATATAATTGATAACCTTAAATCTTAATTATTAAATAAATACCCTATTAATATAGATCTTCAGATAATTTTATATCATGTTCATCAACTTAATAATAATTAAATTATGATAATTATAATTATTCATATAAATTATTAAATGAATGAGTTAATTTCTTAGTTTATTCTTCAATAATTTTAGTAATTGATTATTTATATTCAGTGAATTAAATAGTAGAATTCAAATAATCATTAATTTAACAAGAATTCAAATTAACTAATCTTTCTTAGAATAATGAATATTTTTTTCTGATTCCTCTTTTTAATTAAGAAAATGATTAATTTACATTTTCTACACATTTATTAAGATCATCAATTAAATTATCACAATCTTTATTATTATTTTCAAGGAATTACATCAAAGTGTTTATTTTTTTGACATCATTAATATGATTATTATGGATTCCCTTTTTAAAACATTCAAAACATTA